GCTTGGGGGCAGTGCCCAGGCCCAGAGTTCAAGCCCCAGGACAGACAAAAAAAAAAAAAGCAAAATATGAGCAAGAGGTCAGTGGCTTACCTCTGTAATCCAAGCTACTCAGAAGGCTGAGATCTGAGGATTCCAGTTCAAATCCAGCCAGGGCAGAGGAAAGTTTATGAGATTCTTAGTTTCAATTAATCAACAAAAAGCCAGAATAGTAAAGCACCAGCCTTCAGTGGAAAAGGCAAAGGGACAGTGCTCAAGTCCCAAGTTCAAGCTCTAGTACTAGCACAAAAAATATATGAGCATAAGAACTAAGGGTGTGGCTCAAGTGGTAGCGTTCCTGCCTAGCCAGCATGAGGCCCTGAGTTCAAACATGTACACATTGTGGAAGTTTTCAGCTCTGGGTAAATGCACACAGCTCAGTCCATGCTTCCACACCCCATGTAGGAAGTTGGGTGAGTGAGGAAAGTCCACTCCAGTCTTCATGAAGTTACTGGGTATATGGATACCCTGTTCCCAGACAGCAATTGGGTGTTTTTCAAATTACCTGGCAGACAAGGCCTCTGCATAGCTCATCTTTGCATACCAAAGGTTTTTGTTGTTGTTTTGTTGTTAATTGTGGGGCTTGAACTCTGGGCCTGGCACTTTCCCTGAGCTCTTTGAACCACAGCTCCACAACCATTTTTGTTTGTCAGTCCTGGGGCTTGAACTCAGGGACTGGACACTGTCCCTGAGCTTCTTTTTGTTGTTGTTGTTGGTTGTGAGGCCTGAATTCTGGGCCTAGATGCTGTCCCTCAGCTCTTCAGCTCAAGGCTAACACTCTACCACTTGAGCCACAGTGCTACTTCCAGTTTTTTCTGCTTATGTGGTGCTAGGAATTGAACCCATGGCCTCATGCATGCAAGGCAAGCATTCTACCACTGAGCCACCTTCCCAGCCCTCCCTGGGCTTCTTTTGCTCAAGGCTATCACTTTATCACTTGAGCCACAACACCACTTCTAGCTTTTGCTGTTTATGCAGTGGTACTAGGAAATGGAACCCAGGGCTTCATGCATGCTAGGGAAGTACTCTACCACTGAGCCACATTCCCAGCCCTTTGTTGTTGTTGTTGTTGAGTGGTTAATTGGAGACAAGAGTCTCACAAGGACTTTTCTGCCCAGGCTGGCTTTGAAGTATGATCCTCAGATCTCAGCCTCCTGAGTAACTAGGATTACAGGCATAAGAAACCAATGCCCAGTTACCAAAGTTATTTTATTTTATTTTGTCAGTCCTGGGGCTTGAGCTCAGGGCCTAGGCACTGTCCCTGAGCTTCTTTTGCTCAAGGCTAGCACTCTACCACTTGAGCCACAGCACCACTTCTGACTTTCGGTTTATGTGGTACTGAGGAATCGAACCCAGGGCTTCATGCATGTTAGGCAAGCACTCTACCACTAAGCCACATTCCCAGCCCCCGAAGTCATTTTATTTATTCCCACATACATACTACTGTTGTCTTCCTTTTTCTTCCTCCTTTCTTCTCTTTTACTCTCTCCTTTTTTCTTTCCTTCCTCTTTTTTTTTTTTTTTTTTTTGGTGCCAGGACTGGGGCTTGAACTCAGGTCCTTGCTCTCTGACTTGGCTTGAGTGAAAAAACTCGAGGTTAATGCTCTACCACTTGAGCCACAGCTCTATTTTCAGCTTTTTGGTGGCTTATTGGAGATAAAAGTCTCATGATTTTGTCTTCCTGGGCTGCTTTGAACCCCAATTCTCAAATTTCAGTCTCCTCAGTAGCTAGAATTATAGGTGAGTCACCAACACTCAGCCCTTTCCCCATTTTGTGTGAGTGGAGGGGACATCAGGACTCATATCAAAGCCACTTAGGATTCTGTTGATATTATGTCCTGCCTTCCCAGATCAGATCCCATGTCACCATGATTGCTCTGACAAAATCATTACTAGCACCTGCGTCCACCCTCAAAGGGTCCCAGGTGGGATCATAGCAGTCACCCTGAATGCTTCTCAAGCTAATGACAGTCTGAAAATGATGGGGAACAGTGACCTGCCGCCAGCAGTGGCACTGAGGGCCTCAGGGCAGCAGGAGACAGGCCGAGCTCACATGCATGGGTGACAAAGACCTTAGTGAGGGCTGGGAATGTGGCTTAGTGGTAGAGTGCTTGCCTAGCATGCATGAAGCCCTAGGTTTGATTCCTCTGTACCACATAAACAGAAAAGGCCGGATGTGGCACTGTGGCTCAAAGAACTCAGGGACAGTGCTTAGGTCCTGAATTCAAGCCCTATGACTGACAATGAAAAGAAAAGAAGTCCTATGGATACACAGCCAACTATGGCATTTCTCTCAGGTCCTTAACCAACCCCCTCCCAACTCAGTCCAATTTCCAATCTTCTAGGACTACCAGATCCCATCCAATTTCAGTTTCACTCTGGAAATGTTTGCTCTGAATTCAGTAGTGTTACCAAACTCTGTCCCTCAGAAATACATCACTTGTATACACTATACAGATTTTCAGACCTTTTCTTTCCATGCACAAAATTACATGGTCCAGGGAAAAGACAGAGGCCATCACAACCTTCTGTCATGTTTTCTTGAAGCTGGGCAGGGTGATGGGCACATAGCACACATCCTATACATATTTGCAGAGGACATGAATTATAAACGGAAAGATAATATTGACTGTGCCCAAGCAGGGGAGACACTGTCCTATGGGAAGTGGGCAAAGGGAAATCATGTTTATCCTTGCTAGATGGCGACACACTGACTTCATCTTTTCAGTGCACACATGGCTACTTTTTGTTTTTGTCAGTCGTGGGGCCTGAACTCTGGATCTGGGCGCTGTCCCTCAGCTCTTCAGCTCAAGGCTAGTGCTCTACCACTTTAGCCATAGCTCTACTTCCGGCTTTTTCTGCTTTTGTGGTGCTGAGGAATTGAACCCAGAGCCTCATGCACACAAGGCAAGTGCTCTACCACTGAGCCACCTTCCCAGCCCCACATGGTTTCTTTTCTTATCCATGGCTCGGAGCCCCATGTCAGTCTGACTGCTGGGACCATTGTTCAGGTGCTGCCACCTCCTTAAGCCCAACACATTTCCCATCTCCATTTGCAGGTATTTCAGACAAATAAAGCATTATCTTTCTTAGCTTCCTTCTTTCCTAAATTCTTAGGTAGTTCATTCTCCATTGATTAGGCAGGTCTATTATTCTTTGGCTGACTGATTGTGCTGGCACTGGGCCTTGAACTCAGAGCTTTAGGTCCTCCCTTGGCTTTTTGTTGTGGTCAGTTGTGGGGCTTGAACTCTGGGCCTGGGTGCTGTCCCTCAGCTCTTCAGCTCAAGGCTGGTGCTCTACCACTTGAGCCACAGCGTCACTTCCAGCTTTTTCTGTTTATGTGGTGCTAAGGAATCAAATCCAGGGCCTCATGCATGCAACACAAGCACTCTACCACTGAGCCACATTCCCAGCCCTTTTATTTTTTTTATATCATAGCTAGTGCTCTACCATCCAAGCCACACCTCCACTTCCAGCCTTTTACTGGTTAATTGGAGATAAGAGTTTCACAGATTTGTCTGCCTAGGCTGTCTTGAAACCATCTCCTTTTAGATGCTGAATTTTATTTTATTTTTTTTACACATTTTTTCCAAGACATATGCACTCCTGACTTGGGCCCCATGAAAAAGAATACACATCTGACACTCCTGCATTTTGTATCTGTGTTCTTGGTCCTGAGCCTTCTCTCTCCTGCAGCCATCTTGGAAGCAAACAAGGACCAGACCAGCAACCAGGTGTCACTCTTAATATTGCTCACATGAACAATCATATCTGTCAAATTACTTGATGACACCTGACTCCCTCTGAACTTGCCTGAGGCCTGAGACTATTTAGCTCTGCATACTTTTTAACCTGTCCCCAATTCCCCCTATTTCCGGAAGATGAGCAAAGGTTACGTGAAGTGCCATTGTGCCACTTCATCTTTCTCTTCTTTCTCTAATAAACTTTCCTATCATTTCCACTATCTTTGTGTCTTAGCTGAATTCTCCTCATGCTGGACCCCAAGCATCAAGATGGATCAGCTGAGCTCAGTTTCTGGCAACAATACTAAAATCCTTGCTAAAACTTTTACCTTGTGAGACACCTTGAGATTCTTCCCACATGTGGATCTCAGACCTTGCCAGGTGCTATGGGGAGCCCTCATCCATCATGGGCTGACAACAGTTGCCAAACAATCTTCTGGAATTTAATTTTTGTTTTATTTTTGTGCTGGTCTTGAGGCTTGAACTCAGGGTCCAAGTGCCATCCCTGAGGTTGGCACTCTACCACTTCACAGTTCCACTCCTGGCTCTTTTGGTAGCTAACTGGGGATAAGAGTCTCACAGACTTTTCTTGTGGGCTCGTTTCAAACCGTGATCCTCAGGTCTCAACCTCCCGAGTAGTTAGGATGATAGGCGTGAGCCAACAGTGTCAGTATAATACTGAACTCAGGGCCTCACACTTGCTAGGCAGGTGGTCTACCACTGAGCCCCAGTTCCACTTCTGGCATTTTTTTTGGGGGGGGGGGGTGGGAGAGAACTGGTTAATTGGAAATAAGAGTCTCATAAACTAGATTTTCCTGCCCAGGCTGGCTTCGAACCCTCGGCTCTCAGCCTTCCCTCATAATAATTTGGCCTTCGGATTCAGCCACCTGGCCTTCTGCAGTCCTGGATTCCTACCCTAAAGACACCCCAAGGGCTTCGGGGGACAGCGCACGGTCGACCAGGGTTGGGTCCGCTGGGGGGGGGTCAGGTCCACTTGGGGCCCAGCGCAAAGCCACCTCACCGTGACTCAGCCCAAGCCCGGAGAGGGCGACCACTCATTCCGGAAGAGGAGCGGAGGGCGAGGAGTGGGCGGGCCATGGCGCGTCGGGATTGGCCAGGCGGGTGATGACGTAAGAACGCGCCGGAGCTGTCGGACCACGGCGCAGCGCGATTGGTTGATTTGTGGGTGATGTCATCCATACGCGCCAGGAACGCCCCGGGCGCGCGGTTCCGACTGTGAATAAATGGCGAGGGCTTTGGGGCGCCGTGATGCTGCGTTTTCTGTGGGTGCTGGTGGGTCCTGGACGCCGAGTGCCTCCGGCGCCTTCGTTCCTGCCACCTTGTCCTCCCCCCGCGGTAACTGCGGAGAGGGACACCCGCTTTTTTATCTCTACAGTCCGCTGGATCCTGCAGCTGCCCAGGTCGCTGACCAGAGGCAAGTACGGAGTTGGGCCATTGCGGGTCGGGGCGGATGCCAGTCGGGAGCCGAGTGGGGGACGTGAGGGGTCGCGGCGGCCCTGTGGGGAGGGGCACTGTCATAGCAGAATGACCGTGTCCAGGCACTGTCCCTGAGGTAGGTGTCAGGAGCGAGATCGTTCGGAGGCTGATGCCAGGTTCCGGTCAGTTCTAGGAAGGAGAAGATTCTGGAGCCAGGCGCCTGTGGTCGCGCCCGTAATCCAAGCTACTCAGGAGGCTGAGATCTGAGGATCGCGGTTTGAAACCAAGCCCGGGCAGGAAAGTTCGTGAAACTCCGTTTTTTATTGTTGTTTTTTTTTTGTTTTGCCAGTCTTAGGGCTTGAAATCAGGGCCAGGGCACTGTTCCTGAGTTGCTTTTTCTCAAGGCTAGCACTCTACTACTTGAGCGGCTTTTTCTGTTTATGTGGTATTGAGGAATCAAACGCATGGCTTTGCATGCTAGGCAAGCACTCTACCACTAAGTCACATTCCCATTCCTCGAGAGACTCATCTCCACTTAGTCAGCAAAATTCCGAAGTGGGACTGTGGCTCAAGCCGTAGATCTCTAGCCTTGAGCAAAAAAAAGCTAAGGGACAGCCCATAGGCCCTGAATTCAAGTCCAGGACAGACACACACGAGATTTCAGATTGGCTACTCTGCTAAAATCTGCTTTCAGCAGGAGGAGGTGAGGGTGGGCTTTTTCATGGAGCTTAGCATGGGAGGGAGGTAATAGGGATGACCCTTTTGAGAGAAATAGAATTTTAAACCCATCTTGACAGGGTGGGTCATATCAGATTATGAAGGATAGTTTAGGAGGGTGGGCTCCAGAAGAGTGGAGCTATCTGATGGGAAGATCTGGAAAAGATACCTACCCGTAGCCCTGGCTTAGGAGGTATTTGTGGGAAGGACAAGAGTTTTGAGTAGTTTAGTGGGTGCCAGGTGATGGAGGGGACCTTGTGGATGCTGCAGTGGACTTTAGTCCTCTCTACCAATATCTGTGATGAGTTAATGGCTGGCACTTCTCCCTGATCAGCTCTTGCTTTATGTCATTAGGGAGAATGCTCATAATAAAACTCAAATCAATGCACAAGGGAGGGAGTGGGGGAGGCTAGGGACTGAGTGAAATCTCCAGAGAGTGTAACTCATCTAATGTGATTTAGCACCTGGTGACAGAGTTTTGTTTATATCAACAAGTATAGGCAGTAGATGAAACGGACTTAAAAGCCACTGAGGGGCTGTGAATATGGCTTAGTGATAGAGTGCTTACCTAGCATGTTTGAAGCCCTGGGTTCAATTCCTCAGTACCACATACACAGAAAAAGCCAGAAGTGGAGCTGTGGCTCAAGTGGTAGAGTGCTAGTTTTGAGCAAAAGAAGCTCGAGGACAGTGCCCAGGCCCAGATTCAAGTCCCAGGACTGGATGGACACACACACACCCATTGTGATTATGTGAGTAGGAACCCCTTTCAGTGTATGAAATGTGGTTTACTGTTACCCCTAACTCAAAGCAGGCTTCATAAATTAGGAATTAAAATTTGTAAAAACTAACCCATCTTTCCAGTAACTTGGTAGTTATGCTAAAACTTACACTTTATTTTTTTGGAAAGCCACAAAGCTTTATGATATTTGAGTCTTAAAAAGAGCCCAGGGTATTGGGCACCAGTGTCTCGTTCTTATAATTCTAGCTACTTTGGAGGAGGTTGATGTTTTAGGATAATTGTTAGCAACCAGCCCAAGCAGGAAAGTCCATGTGATTCTTATCTCCAATAAACCATCAGAAAGCCAGAAGTAGAGCTGTAGCTTAAGTGAAAGCTCCAGCCATAAGTGAAAAGGCTCAGGGCAGTGCTCAGGCCCTGCATCCAAGCCCCAGTACTAAGCAAGGGGGCGTGGCAGGGCACCTGACTGGGATGAGTAATGCTCATACCAAGGATGTGGGTAAATGATTCCCTCATTTGTGGCAGGTGCTAAGTCTAACTCAGGGCCCTCATTGCTATCCTCTTCCTTTCATATTCTCAATAGGTGATATCTAGCTGCCACCTGTGTTTGGATTACTGTTTGCACCATGGAGTTTCCTGACTTGGGAAAGCATTGCTCAGAGAAGACTTGCAAGCAACTAGGTGAGCACATTGCAAACAGTCTTAGTAGAAAATGGTGTGTTGCTGGCTGTTTTGTGAGACAATCTGGCTGTTACCTTCATGAGCTGATTGCTCTCTGCCTGTGGCCTTTCTGGCTTCTCAGAGGTATTGGGACTCTGACCTGGGTTGCGGGGCTTGGTCAGCATTGCTAATGTCCTGTAAGGCTAGGCACTAGATTGGCTACCAGGGCCAAATAGATACAGATGTGCTGCTTAAATAATTGTGGCATCTCATGAAATGGGATCTGTGTTGAAAAGGTAGCTTTATAGGTTCTTCATGCTCTTTTCTTCATGCTCTTTGGTGGTGGTAAACTCAGCCCCAAAGTAATTTTCCTATATGCATGGCAGTTCCTGGATATATTTATCTCAAGTGTGAATGAGGTGCTAAGTGGAGGTAATTAATTACCTGCTTACTCTGGCCTACATAGAATTCAGTCTTTTGTTCTCATCCCTGAGACTTTACCTTTTTTTATTTTATTTTTTTTTTAGATTTTCTACCACTAAAATGTGATGCATGTAAACAAGATTTCTGTAAAGATCATTTTACCTGCGCCACACATACATGTCCCTTTGCATTCAAGAAGGTAATTCATCGTGCTATCTCCAGAACAGTCTATTCTTCACTGTCCAGTGCAGCCTTTGCTGGCTCCAGGCGCCATTTAATCTTCTGAAAATTATAAAATCCAGGGGCTGGGGATGGGTCCTGGAGTAACGTGTGCCTAATATGCCCAACGCTTTGGTTTTGATCTCCAGTGCTGCAAAATTTCAAACAAAATAGAGCCCCCAGTTTCCTAGCTACAGATTATATCTCCAATGTTCCCTGGCTGCATGTGGCCTGTCATGCCATATTGCATGCACAGAGACTTTCCACCACTGAGGGACTTCTTTCGGGCATTTTTGTTTTCAGAGACCCATGCAGTCAGATTGTTACTGTAGCTGAGCTACAAAATCATGAATGAGGCTATAATAGTTTTTATGTAGGTGCAGAATGGATTTGTAAATGAGAGACAAGCTCTCTTAGAAACCAAACAAGTAAGAGTCAAAAGTAAGGAGGACTTGAGTTCCTTTTTTTTTTTTTTGGCCAATCCTGGGGCTTGAACACAGAGCCTAGGCACTGACCCTGAGCTTCTTTTTGCTCAAGGCTATTGCTGTATCACTTGAGCCACAACGCCACTTTCAGCTTTTCTATTTATGTGGTTCTGAGGAATCGAACCCAGGGCTTTATGTATGCTAGGTAAGCACTCTGCCACTAAAACACATTCCCAGCCCTGGACTTGAGTATTTTAGTCAAGTTCTGTGTTAGATGCCTGTAATCCCAACCATGCTGGAGATTACGGCAGGAGGATTGCAGCCTGGGTTACATAGCAAGACTGTTTTTTTTTTTTTTTTGGTCAGTCGTGGGGCTTGAACTCTGGGCTTGGGCGCTGTCCCTCAGCTCTTCAGCTCAAGGCGAGCACTCTACCACTTGAGCTACAGCGCCACTTCCGGTTTTCTGGTGGTTTTATTAGAGATAGGAGTCTCACGGTCTCTCCTGCCCGGGGTGGCTTTGACCACGATCCTCAGATCTCAGCCTCCAGAGTAGCTAGGATTACAGGCGTGAGCCACCAGCGCCCGGCTAGCAAGACTTTTTTAAGTAAAGTTTCAAAGGGGAAGCTATGGGTATGGCTTGATCACTTGCCTACCACTGATGATAACACTGGGTTCAACTCCCAGTCCCATTTTTTTTGGTTTGTCCATTGTGGGGCTTGAACTCTGGTCCTGGGCACTATCCCTCAGCTCTTCAGCTCAAGGCTCTTCAGCTCAAGGCGAGTGCTCCACCACTTGAGCCACAGCACAACTTCTGGTTTTCTGAGTGGTTTATTGGAGATAAGAGTCTCGTGGAGTTTCCTGCCTCAGCTGGCGGGATCCTCGATCTTCAGATCTCCGCCTCCTAAGTAGCTAGGATTACAGGTGTGAGCTACTGGAGCCCAGCAGCAGTCCCTTTTTTTTTTTTTAATTTTAAAGAACAACCCCCCCTCCCCCCCCCCCCCCCGAAACTACGACGTGAAGATCGTAGTTTGAAGTCAGCCTGGGCAGGAAAGACTCTTGTCTCCAATTAACCATCAAAAAGCCAGAAGTGAAGCTGTGATTCCAGTGGTAGAGTGCTAGTGTTGAACAAAGAAGCTAAGGAACAGTGCTCAGGCCCTGAGATCAATTCCCAGTACCTGCTTCCCCCAACAAAAAAACAGCGGGGGGGGGGGGGGGTGGGGAGGAGGTAGGGAGGACTGGGTTTTGTAAGGTGAGACAGTGGTAGCAGGTAAAGGGCCGTGCAGGCTGTGCTTGGCCTTGCTGCTGCACAGGCTCCGCCTGCTCCACACAGCAAATGTACTGGATGCCCCCTGTGGGAACTCCCAGCTGGCATCCTCGATTCCTGGGTGATCCACAGGACAGACGACTTGGTGTCACATGCTTTGATTGGGGCTCTGGCTGTGGTGTGGGCCTCTAGGCCCCAGTAGGGGTGAAGCCGCTGTCTGTGTGCGGCGATGGCGTTTTCTCCTCTATGGGCAGATGTGCCAGCTCCACACACACACAGCCAACCCTGTGGGACCAGCCCTGCTGGGATCCCCAACACATGCTCCAGAGCCCTTGTGTGGGGCTGGCAGTGGGTGGTGGTGGTGACACACCTGCGTGGGGTGTCACGAAGGATCAGATGTGGCTGGCACGCGAATGAGTGGGGGACCATGCGGCTCAGGCTGTGTGAAGTGGGACGTGGCCCCACCATCCTGAGCCATGCACTCATGCCACAGCTCCTGTGCTCACCTCGCCCCTTCCCTGCCCCTTCACATGCAAGTTCACTGGCCGCCTTGGTCCCCAGACCCCCAGATCTCTGCACCTTGTCTTTTTTTTTTTCTTCTGTTGGTCAGGGGCTTGAACTGAGGGTTTGGGCGCTGTCCCTGAGCTCTTTTGCTCAAGGTTAGGGCTTTACTACTTTCAGCCACAGCCTCACTTCTGATTTTCTGGTGGTTCATTGGAGATAAAAGTTTCACAGACTTTCCTTCCCAGGCTGGCTTCGAGCCTTGATCCTCAGATCTCAGCCTCCTGAGTAGCTAGGATGACAGGCAAGAGCTGCCGGCGCCCAGCCTGTTTGTGTCTACTTGGACTCTGTTTTATCTTGCGTGAAGTCTGGTTGGATCCCAGCTGTGTGTCATTCCTCCCTGCAGGATGTTCGCGTCCCTGTGTGTCCTCTCTGTAACGTCCCAGTTCCAGTAAAGAAGGGGGAGCTGGCAGACGTGGTGGTCAGTGAGCATATGGATAGAGATTGTGTAGGCTGTGCTGCACCAAGAGAGAAGGTAAGCTGGTCCTAAGGGCAGGAAGGGCAGAGTTCTAACCACAGATGGTAGGGCTCCACTGAGAAGCTGTGTGGAGAGTCAGTTTTCAGCTATAGAAGCAGAGACTCAAGACCCTGGGAGCCTAAGTTTGGGGTCTCCTCCATTCTAGGGTTTCTCTTGAGGCAGAGAGGTAACAAGGTTTTCTGGAATCCTTGTATTAAGCTACATTTACCTTTCAAGCTTGCTTGGTGGGTCCTGTTGAGACACATGTGCAGCGCCTCACACTGTGTCCCATGCTCCTGGCTGCCAGTGGGAGCTTGCCCCTTGGTAGTTAGTTGTGAGTGAGGCTGCCACGTGGCCACCTCCAGCTCTGCCTGGGTTTCTTCTTCCCTGCTTGTTTTCTTTTTATTCTTTTTTTTTTTTCCTTTTAAAATTCCTGTCCAGCCAGTGCCAGTGGTTCACGCCTGTAATCCTAGCTACTCAGGAGGCTGAGATCTGAGGATCATGGTTCAAAGCCAGCCCTGGCGGGAAAGTCTGTGAGACTTTATCTCCAATAAACCACCAGAAAATCAGAAATGGCTCTGTGGCTCAAGTGGTAGAGCGCTAGCCTTGAGCTGAGGGACAGCACCCAGGCCCAGAATTCAAGCCCCACTACTGATCTCCCCCCCCAACAAAAAAAAAATTCCTGTCCTGAGGGCTGGGAAGGGGGCTCAGTGGTAGAGTGCTTGCCTTGCATGCAGGAGGCCCTGGGTTCCATTCCTCAGCACCACATAAGCAGAAAAAGCCTGAAGTGGTGCTGTGGCTCAAGTGGTAGAGTGCTAGCCTTGAGCTGAAGAGCTGAGGGACAGCGCCCAGATCCAGAGTTCAGGCCCTATGACGGACCAAAAAAATGAAAATAAAATTTAAAAAACATAATAAAATTCCTTTCCTGGGGCTTGAGCTGAGGGCCTGGGCATTGTCCCTAAGATTCTATTTTGCTCAGGGCTGTTGCTCTACCACTTGAGCAATAGTTCCACTTCTGGCATTTTTGGTAGTTCTGTGGAGTCTCACAGATTTTGCTGCTCCGGCTGAACCACAATCCTTAGATCTCAGCCTCCTGAGTAGCTAAGATGCCAGGCGGGAGCTGCAGCAGCCAGTGTCCTCAGTCTCACTCACAGAGGCCCTGTGCTTGCAGGTGTTCGCACACCGCTGTTCCCGGGCAGGCTGTCGGAGGAAGGAGATGCTGCAGCTGCTGTGTGTGCAGTGCCAGCGCAACTTCTGCATCCAGCATCGGCATCCTCTGGACCACAGCTGTAGCTCCTCTGGCAGCTCCGCCAGCCGAGCGGGGTGAGCAGGGGCCCCTGGCAGTGCTGAGCCACTAGCTGTGCAGCTGGGGTTTAATAAAAGGATTAAAGCTGGGGAGCCTCTGTGGTTGTTTCTGGGTGTCATGGCATGTTCTGCAGATGGGAGGCGTCGGCCACAGGACGGGGCCCTGGTGGCCAGTGGGTGACCGAGTGCTGGGGGTCTTGGTGTTCTTTCTTGCCGCCTCCATGCACATCTGGCTGTCTGTGTAGGTGTTCAGCAACCACAGCAGAGTCTAAAGCACCGGGCACCGTGAACACTCCATCCTCCGGCTGGCTGACCCAGCTACTCAGGTACTTGTATCCGCACGGCACTTGGCGCTGCTCTGAGCCCAGTAGTGTAGTGAGCTTGTGTAGATGCCAGGACTCCATGGCACAGCATGCTTCCATGGGGAAGGGTGGTGTGGGCCTCCAGATTCTACACCATCCCTGTCAGGCGGGGGTGCTGGCACTGCTTCTGGAGCCACCAGCGTGGGCCCAGGGACCTGAAGTGTGGCCCAGCACTCTGCTTCCTTTCAGGTGGAAGGTGAAGCGGTAACAACAGTGTGCCCTGCTCTGCTCACCCTCTCCAGCTTCTGGCACAGTCTAAAATGGAAAGCTTCACCAGTAGGACACGGATTCGCTGTTAGAACAAGCATCAGAAGGCTCCTAAATCCAGGCACCGTGGCTCATTCCTGTAATCCTATCTACTTAGGAAGCTCAGATCTGAGGACCAAGGTTTAAAGCCCGCATAGGCAGAAGCCTGTGAGGCCCCCATCTCCAGAATATCCACCAAAAAGGATGGTTCAAGTGGTAGAGCGCCTTCCCTGAGTGAAAAAGCCAAGCAAGACTGCAAGGTCCACTGGCTGAGATCTGAGGATCACAATTTGAAGTCAGACTGAGCAGAAAATTCATGAGACTTATCTCCAATAAATTACCAAAGAAAGAAGTAGAGCTGTGGTTCAATTGGTAGAGCACTGGCCTTGAGCAAAAGAAGCTCAAGGATGGTACCCAGGCCCTGAGTTCAAGCCCCAGGACTGGTACCAAAAAAAAAAATCTAGCCAGTTGGGTGTATTCAGTTTCTAGTGTAGACCACTGACTATCACTTGCTGTTAGCTGGTGACATTGTCCTAAGCCCGGGGTTTCTCAGCACTGGCATCCACACCCCAGCGCAGGGCCACCTACCACGGATGGCCACAGCTGCCATGTGGAACAGCTGCTGCCCCAGCCCTCTGCCATCTTGCCTGTGTGCAGCTTCCGAGATAGACTCACCATGGTCACTAGAAACTTGAGGAACATGGGTGTGTAGATGCATTTCACACCATTTCTGTGAGAGCCAAATGCAGGTCCAGGGCCTCTGTAGGGATTTTAATACTGCCCTGAGGAATGCATGTTGAATTCATTGGCTTCTGGACTTAGGATAAACGCACTGGTTGTTTGCCCGCCGAAATGGTAACAATCCACATAGACTGGATTAATAAAACAGCATAATTGGTTTTATCTCTTCTGTTTCATTATAAGCAATTCGCTATTTTATTTTATTTTTTTTCACTTGTGGGGCTTGACCTTAGGGCCTGGGTGCTGTCCCTGAGTTCTTTTGCTCAAGGCTAGCACTCTATCACTTTGAGCCACAGCTCCACTTCCGGTTTTTGAGTGGTTAATTGGTGATGAGAGCCTTACCCGGACTTTTCTGCCTAGGCTGACTTCAAACAGTGATCCTCAGATCTCAGCCTCCTTGTGTAGCAAGGATTACTGGTGCCCGGCTTGTTATTTTAAAATGAGGGAAGTAGGAAGTACAGATTCTGTTAGCACATAGCACAGTCCTGGGCCTCCTGGACAGTGGGACAGCGAGCCTCAGGTGAGACAGCGAGCCTCAGGTGAGGATTGGCCAATCAGAATCTAACGTGTGCCACATTGGCACTCGAAACCTGCTACAGCCAAACAGCCACTCTCAAGTTTCCTATAGCTCATGCCTGTAATCCTTGCTATTCAGCTGAGACCCAAGGATCACAATTCAAAGCCAGACTGGGTAGGAAAATCTTTTAGTTACTCTTACTATCAAAAAGCTGGAAAGGGAGCTGTGGCTTAAGTGGTAGAGTGTTAGCTTTGAGCACAAAAGCTCAGGGACAGTATCTAGTCCCTGAGTTCAAGCCCCAGGAGCCAGGCACAAAAATAAGAATGCATATGCTTTTTTGGCTGCACACAGTGGCTTCTACCTGTAATCCCAGCTACTTGGGAAGCAAAGATTCGGAGGATCACAGTTCTAAGCTGGCCCTGGCGGAAAGTTCTCAAAACCCCATCTCAATCAATAAAAAGCTGGGTATGATGGCATGTATCTGTATCACAACTACTTGGGAAGTGTACAAAGGAGTATCGGGGTCTTCTGTAAGCGTAAGTGTGAGGCCCTATTTGGGAAATAACTAAAGCAAATAGGGTTGGTGGGCATGGCTCAAGTGGTGAAGCACCTACCTGACTGAGGTGGGCAGGATCCACTCCTGTTGGCTACTGAGAATTGTGGGTTTTTTGTTTTTTGTCAGTCGTGGGGCTTGAACTCAGGACCTGGGCATTGTCCCAGAGCTGCTTTTGCTCAAGACTAGCACTCTACCACTTGAACCACAGCACCACTTGTGGCTTTTTCTGTTTTATGTGGTACTGAGAAATTGAACCCAGGGCTTTGTGCATGCTAGGTAAGCATCTACCACTAAGCCACATTCCCAGACCATTGGGTGGTTTTTAAGTTGTAAATCTTGGCTGTCAGCCATGTCTTAGCCCCATTTGTCCATTGGCCCTGGCAGCCAGTGTCACGGAGCATGTGTGGTGCTGGGTGTCAGATGCTACCCGATATCATCTAGGTGTCACTGGGTGTCAGATGCTACCCGATATCATCTAGGTGTCAGTTGATGAGCCGCTCCAGGGCAGCCCCAACCACCCCACAGGACCACTCAGCTGGGAAATCAGGAATAGTCGCACTGCTGGGGTGGCCAGGAGGTTTGTACTTCTGGTCCCAGCACATCACTGCATCCCTGGGTAAGCTCTCCTCGGGCCTTGTCACATCTGGGTACACCCAAGACAAGCCAACGTTCAGTGTCCCCATCTCCAGCATAGCCAGCTGCCAGTGGTGCATGGGTTGCAATCTCAAACTTGTCCACAAGGTGTCACCAAAGGCTTTTTATTGGAATCAGAATGGGGCAGCCCTTGTCCTGGGGAGCAGGAAGCTGGCTTCGCTTAGCAGATGCTGCTCGTCTTAGTTGTGCAGTTCACCGTGGGAAAGGGGAACTTTGAATTCTTTTTGTGCAGTCAGCTGAAGACCAAATTTGAAAGTTTGTTTCTGAAATAAGTTCCTCAAAATGGATCAGAGCAGTCTTTCCCAAGTTTAAGTTTGAACATGGAAATCTTTTACACTAAGGTTTGTCTTTTTTTTTTTTTTCTTTGTTTTTGCTTTTTTTGTGCTAGTACTTGAACTCAGAACCACCACACTCAGCTTCCCCCCCTTCCCCCCCCCCCCCCCAGTCAGTTGTGAAGCTTGAACTCAGGGCGTGGGTGCTGTCCTTGAGCTTTTTCCACTCAAAGCTAGTATTCTACCACGTTGAGCCACAGCTCCACTTACGGTTTTCTGGTGGTTAATTGGAAGTAAGAGTCTCACAGACTTTCCTGACCTAACTAGCTTCAAACTGCAATCCTCAAATCTCAGCCTCCAGTAGCGAGGATTACAGGTGTGAGCTATCAGAACCCAGCTCTTGCCTGACTTTTTCGTCCAGCTGGCATTCCACCACCTGAGCCACATCTTCACTTCTGGCATTTTGCGGGTTCACTGGAGACAGAACATTTCCTTCTGGGGTTGGCTTTGAATTACCATCTTCAGATCTTATTCTCTTGAGTAAAGAGGATTATAAGCATGATCCACCAGCACTACTTACTTTGTAAGCATGTGAGAAGGAAACTAGTCTGACCCCTGTGACTGTGTGAACTTTCCCCAGGAACATGGAGGTTTGCTTTATTTTGAGGAAATGATAGAACAACTTCTGACCAAGTTTGTTACACAGGGGAGTGAGGCCCACAGGGGCTGTGTTGGTTGAGACGGTCACTTAATGTCCGGAGTTGTTGTTTTTGAGTTGTTGACTTTGAGTCCTCCCTTCTAGTGTCAGGACACGGGGTGGGGAGTTTCCACACATTCTCCTTATAAGATCTTAGAATGTATTACCAGCTAAGATTTAGCCAGGCATGGTGACACACTCCTGTAATCCCAGCCTATGACACTGAAGCAGTAGGATCTCAAGTTCCAGGCCAGCTTGTGTTATATAACAAGATGCTGCCTTAAAAAAAAAAAAAAAGCTGTTTCTTACAATAAATACAAAAAAATTGTGGTTTGTTTTAAATACAAAAGGAGAGCAGCTCTCTAATTTTACATTCTGCGCATAGTGCAGGTTTTGGTTTGGAACTATAAACTAAGGTTAATTTTTTTAGAATTACTGTTACTATCTTAGGAGAAAACCCACCACCAACAGAAAGATGTTTTTATGGTACAATGGAATATTATGCAGCCATTAGAAAGGACAAAATAATGGCATTTGCAGGGAAATGGGTGGAACTAGAGTGAATCATTTGGAGCAAGGTAAGCCAAGAGCAAAGTGACAAATGGCACATGGTCTCCCTGTTATGTGGATGCTAAAGCCAAAATGCAAGGAGATATGACAAAGTTAACAAGACTCAAGAACAAAGGACTGCCACTCATTTTGTCCTATCATTGTTAACTGACTCTATGTTCTTGACCACATATATGGTACATATATGAATGCAATGGAAGGAAGCTAAGAGGACACAATCAGTGGGAAACAGGAAAACATAAAACAGAGGGGCCCGGGCCCATCAGCGGCACTGGATATAGATGAAAATGAACTAAACAACCCAAAGACGGTGATGGGAAAGGAGGAATGAGAGGGAAAGAGGGAACAGCTTACACTAAGCAAAAGGAAAGAAATGTAACTATCACCTGATGTGGAAGAAATAATGGTATTGTCAAAGCTCATAGAATTCAAAAACTTTATAGATCACGATAATGACAATGTGCCTTGTGAAGGTTAAAATGTGTTTGTGACTTTAAGTGTCACTATTCCACAATACTGTGACATACGTGAAATTTATGTAATCACCTAATCTTAAAAAAAAAAAAAATGAGGGGCTGGGAAGGTGGCTCAGTGGTAGAGTGCTTGCCTTGCATGCCTGAGTCCCTGGGTTCAATTCCTCAGCACCACATAAGCAGAAAAACCAGGAAGTGGTGCTGTGGCTTAAAGTGGTAGAGCACTAGCCTTGAACTGAAGAGCTGAGGGACAGTGCCCAGGCCCAGAGTTCAGGCCCCACAACTGACAAAAAAAAGTGAGAAGGGGTGGGTTAGAAGTAATAGGTAACAATGTCAGACACTTTGTATTCATATACTGTTTTGTAGCTTGGGAACTTCTTTGTACAACTACTTAAAAGATAATAAAAAATGAAAAAAGGTATTAGTCGGGAATAGTGGTGCATACCTGTAATCCCAGTTATTCAAGAGGTTTAAAGACTACAGTCAGGCTGACCTGGGCAAAAAAATGCATGAGAGACTTGGGGGGTGTGTGTGTGACAAAAACCCAAAGCATAACTAAAAGTAACTAAAGGGCTGGGGGCCTGGCTTATGTGGTGGAGTGTCTGCTTAGCAAGTACAAGGCTTGAGTTCAAATCCTGCAAAAACAAAAGCACAGGGTTCAGTAAACTCAGGAATGACAATTCTGTAAGATCCTAAAATGGCCATGGCTTCCCAAACAGGAAAGTCAACAGAACATAAAACCAACGCAGGAGTCAGGGTCGATATCCTTCCTTCCTATAAACAACAATCCGACAGCATA